TTCACCATATTAGCCAGGATGGTCTCGATCTCCTGACCTCGTGATCCGCCCGTCTCGGCCTCCCAAAGTGCTGGGATTACAGGCTTGAGCCACCGCGCCCGGCCTGTAATTTTCTTTTGTAATGTTTCTTTCTGTTTTTTGTTTGTTTGTTTGTTTGTTTTGAGACGGAGTGTCGCTCTGTCTCCCAGGCTGGAATGCACTGGTACAGTCTCAGCTCACTGGAAGTTCCACCTCCCAGGTTCATGCCATTCTCCTGCCTCAGCCTCCTGAGTAGCTGGGACTATAGGCACCCGCCACCATGCCCGGCTAATTTTTTGTATTTTTAGTAAAGATGGGGTTTCACTGTGTTAGCCAGCTTGGTCTGATCTCCTGACCTCGTGATCCACCTGTCTTGGCCTCCTAAAGTGCTGGGATTACAGACATGAGCCACTGCACCCGGCCTTCTTTTGTAATGTTTCTTGTAAGATTTTTGGTGTCAGGGTTATATTGGCCTCATAAAATGAGTTGAAATAATAAGTTTGGTATTCCTTCTTATTTATTTTCTCTTAGGTTTGTACCCTTATTTATTTATTTATTTATTTATTTATTTATTTATTTATTTTGGTTTGAGACGGAGTCTCACACTGTCACCCAGGCTGGAGTGATGTGGCGTGATCTCAGCTCACTGCAAGCTCTGCCTCCTGGATTATAGCGATTCTCCTGCCTCAGCCACCCAAGTAGCTGGGATTATAGGTGCCTGCCACCATGCCCGGCTAATTTTTTGTCTTTTTAGTAGAGATGGGGTTTCACTATGTTGGCCAGGCTGGTCTTGAACTCCTGACCTCGTGATCCCCCCGCCTCAGCCTCCCAAAGTGCTGGGATTACAGGCGTGAGCGACCGCCCCCAGCCTATACCCATATTTCTTACTTAAGTATTTGGAAGAATTCATTAGTGAAGTCTTTTAGGCTTGGAGTTTTCTTCATGGAAGGTTTTTCATTGTGAATTTCAATTTATTTGGTAGATAAAGGACTATTCAGATTTTTCTATTATGTCAGTTTGTGTCAGTTTGATTTGTCCATTTCATCTACATTATCAAATTTATTAGCATAAATTGCTCAAAATATCCTTATCTTTTTCATATCTGTAGGATTTGAGAGCCATCCCCTTTTTAATTCTTGATATCAGATATTTGCAATTCCTCTTTTTTTTTGATAAGTCTTGCTAGCAGTTTATCAATTTTTTTTTTTTTTTTTTTTTGAGACGGAGTCTCTCGCTCAGTCGCCCAGGCTGGAGTGCAGTGGCGCCATCTCTGCTCACTGCAAGCTCCGCCTCGCGGGTTCATGCCATTCTCCTGCCTCAGCCTCTGAAGTAGCTGGGACTACAGGCGCCCGCCACCACGCCCAGCTAATTTTTTGCATTTTTAGTAGAGGTGGGGTTTCACCGTGTTAGCCAGGATGGTCTCGATCTCCTGACCTCGTGATCCGCCCACCTCAGCCTCCCAAAGTGCTGGGATTACAGGCGTGAGCCACCGCGCCCGGCCCAGTTTATCAATTTTTAAAATCTTTTTTTATTTTAGGAGATAGGCTTTTGCTATGTTGCCCAGACTAGACTCCAACCCCCGGGTTCAAGCAATCCTCCTACCTTGGCCACCTGTAAGTATGTACCAGGTGTGTACCACAGCACCCAGTTTAATTTTGTTAATCTCTTTATTTTCTGTTTTTAATTTTTTTTAGAGACAGTGTTTTGTTCTGTTGCCTAGACTGGAGTACAGTGGCCCGATCATAACACACTGTGACCTCAGACTCCTGGGTTCAAACCATCCTCCAGTCTCAGTCTCTCAAGAAGCTGAGACTACAAGCACAACCCACCATGCCTGGCTAATTTTTAAAGTTTTTTGTAGAGACCAGTCTTATTGTGTTGCTCAGGCTGGTCTCGAACTCCTGACCTCAAGTGATCCTACTGCCTCAGCCTCCTAGAATGTTGGAATTACAGGTGTGAGCCACCGTGGCTGGCCCACATTACCTCTTAAGATGACTCAAAAGTGCTTCAAACATAATTGTGCCCAAAACAAGCTCAAAGTCTTTCCTCTCAGACCTGATTCTTTTCCAGTGAACCTACGCATTTATTGTAGGTTTGAGTTAAGAAAAGTACCAACAGTGCAACACATAAATAGGCAAAGGACATGATCTGACAGTCCACAGAAAAATAAGGGCTTTCTGTATGAAAAAATCCTCCACCTCATTCATAAGAAGAAAAACTATGGTGTGTCTATACAGTGGAATAGTCTTTAAAAAAGGAAAAAAGAGGACGCTCTTAACATAGTGATATGCCAAGATCTCCAAGATACTTTGTTAAGTGTAAGAAGAATATATATTCATAATTGCTTGTATTTACATAAAATACTGGAATATTCAAGAAACTAATAAAGGTGGGCTGGTGCAGTGGCTCATGCCTGTAATCCAAGCAGTTCGGGAGGCCAAGGCAGGAGGATTGCTTGAGGCCAGGAGTTTGAGACCAGCCTGGGCAACAGAGTGAGACCCTTATCTCTACAATATACATATATACATATATATATGTATGTATATATGTGTGTATATGTGTATAGATATATATATTAGGCTGGTAACATATGCCTGTAGTCCCGTCTACTTGGCAGGCTGAGGTCAGAGGATTGCTTGAATGTCATGGCAGTAAGCCATGATTTTGCCACTGCACTCCAGCCTAGGTGACAGAGATCCTGACTCAAAAAAAAAAAATTAATTTCTGCCTGATTAAAAAAAAAAATAAAGCAGTGCTATGATCGGGCGTTAACTTCTCAATAGGACTTCAAATTATGGTAAGGGGGTAAGTTAGAAGCTGAGGAATGGGTGCAGGGAAGTTGGATGTGGTATGAATGATCTGAAAATGAGAGCAATGTGCCAAGTACTGTGCTGAATCATTAAGTATGCAATCACCTTTATTCCTCATAATAGCCTTAAAGTTGGCTGGTATTGTTTTCACTTTAAAGAGGATAAAGCAGCGACTGAAAAGATCTAAGGAACTTGCTGAAAGTCCCACAGCTATGTAGTGGGATTGCGTAGACCCGTTCCTGGACTCAGGGTACCAATCTGAGAAGAGTTGTTCAAGAGCATTGACTCGGTTGGGTTCCGTGGCTCATGCCTGTAATCCTAGCACTTTGGGAGGCCAAGGCGAGAGGATCACATGAGCCCTTGGATCAGCTTGGACAACATAGTGAGACCGTCCCCCCTCCGCCCTGTCTCTAATTAATTAATTAAATTTTAAAAATAAAGAACATTGACACAACATGGAGGTAAACAGAGCAAGTGGGGAGGGAATAGAGACTTAATTCCATCAGCTCTCCTCTTTCCCCTTACCACTCTTCCTTTCCCTGTGTCCCAAACCCGTGTTTCTAAGTCCTGACTGTTATTCCTATGGTGTATTAAATACATATTATTTACTATTTAATATATCTCTTGTTGTTTGTTTTCCCAAATGTTTTGTGGAGACAATGTCTCCCTATGTTGCGCAGGATGGTCTTGAACTCCTGGCCTCGAACGATCTTCCCACCTAAGCTCCCAAAGTCCTAGGATTACAGGAATGAGCCACCATGCCCAGCCTATTTAATACATCTTATTTAATATATAGTATAATACTTAAATATGTACTATTAATATTTAACACATATTAAATACAAATGGTCCCCAACTTACGGTCTGTCGCCCAGGCTGGAGTGCAGTGGCGTGATCTCGGCTCACTGCAAGCTCCGCCTCCCGGGTTCAAGCCATTCTCCTGCTTCAGCCTCCTGACTAGCTGGGACCACAGGCGCCCACTACCACGCCCAGCTAATTTTCTGTATTTTTAATAGAGACGGGGTGTCACCTTGTTAGCCAGGATGGTCTTGATCTCCTGACCTCGTGATCCGCCCGCCTCTGCCTCCCAAAGTGCTGGGATTACAGGCGTGAGCCACCGCGCCCAGCCCTACTTAAGATTTTTCAACTTTATGATGGTGTGAAAGTGATAGACATTCAATAGATATTGTACAATATTCAATAAATTATATCTAACACTGTCTTATAAAATATGCTTTGTGTTACATGATTGTGCTCAGTGATAAGCTATTGTAAGTGTTCTGAGTCTGTTTAAGGTCCACTAGTCTAAGCTATGATGTTTGGTAGGTTAGTGTTTTTTTGTTTTTTCTTTTGAGAAGGAAATTTGCTCTTGTTGCCCAGGCTGGAGTGCAATGGCGCGATCTCAGCTCACTGCAACCTACATCTCCTGGGTTCAAGTGATTCTCCTGCCTCAACCTCCTGAATAGCTGGGATTACAGGCATGCGCCACCACGCCTAGCTAATTTTTGTATTTGTAGTAGAGACAGGGTTTCTCCATGTTGGTCAGGCTGGTCTTGAACTCTTGGCCTCAGGTGACTCACCTGCCTCGGCCTCCCAAAGTGCTGGGATTACAGGCGTAAACCATCACGCCCGACCTAGGTGTATTTTTAAAGTGCATTTTTGACTTAAAATATTTTCCATTTATGATGGGTTTATCGAGAAGTAACCCCACTGTAAATCGAGGCAAGTCTCCAATCTGGAAGGCAGCTACTCCTTAATAGCCCCTTTCCCATAAAACATAAATCAAGGCCGGGCGCAGTGGTTCACTGCAGTAAGCCGAGATCACTCCACTGCATTCCAGCCTGGGTGACAGAGCGAGACTCTGTCTCAAAACAAACAAACAAAAAACCGTGAATCAAAATCTACAAACCTTGTCATATAATAAAGCAAATAAAGCAAGGTGTACTAAGTTATAATCAGTGTGCACATTAGAGCAAGCACTACTTTTCCGATCTTAATTATTCCAGAGATGCTTGACCGATTTACTGGGCACGTGGGCAGTTTTCTGATTGCTGTTTCCACACTTTGCTTTCCCACAGAGAGATTTCCGCAGTTAGGGGCTGCTTTTTCAACGCAGGGAGATAAAAAGAAAAAAAAAAAACACTTCCTCTTCTACCCCGCTAAAAACACCCATCCTAGGGAGCACGCCAGCATTTCCAGCGCTCAGGGCAGGGCCACCCGGCCTGCGGCCGTTGCATTGGCTGGAAGCTGGCGGGCGATCACGGTTGATCGGCTCGGGTGCGGTCCAAGGGCAGCACCGCCTTCGGCGGGCCGCCTAGGGTGATTGGCTGCTGCAGACCCACCCACTCGTCGGTTTGCGGGTCGGCGAAGCCTGGATTGGTGGAGCTAAGAGCTGGCTCAGCAGCAGCTCACGCTCTTGGTTCAGGGTAGAGATGGCGACTGCGACTGGGCTGCTGAGGTGGCGTGTGGCGAGCTGGAGGCTGCGGCCGCCGCTTGCCGGCTTCGTTTCCCAGCGGGCCCACTCGCTTTTACCGGTGGACGATGCAATCAACGGGCTAAGCGAGGAGCAGAGGCAGGTGAGGAGACTGACCCCCTTCCTAGCCCGAAGGTCTCGTTCCTGCCTGGTCCCCATCGGCCCAGCGCCCCCCCAGCCTTGGCTTTTGCCCGTGGGCCGTTGGGAGCGCCAGCGCCCGGGCGGGATGCGGGCCTCCGGCCTGGGGCCGGTCCCCTGACCTCAGCCTGACGTCTGTGGGGTGAAGATTTGAGACCGCAGGGCAGTACTGCTGGAAGTAGAGAGGAGTCGAGGCTGGGAGAGCTCCTGGGAGACCGATGGTGTTTTGGTGGAGGATTGGCCAGGCTACTGCTTGTGACACAAGGGCCCTCAATCTGTATGTAGTTCACTTAACCTGAACAGTCTGAGGTATGCTTCTGACACCTGGGTGATCATCGTAATCACCAGGGAGTCTTTTTTGTATAAACAGTTTGAGGGTTTTAAAAAGCTACAGTGAGCTCTCCTGTCGCTCCTCAGCCCATTGGGTCAAAACACAAAGTTGAACAAGTACTGGAAAGAAGCAGTTAGAGGCCAGGCACCGTGGCTCACACCTGTAATCCTAGCACTTTGGGAGGCCGAGGTGGGAGGATTGTTTGAGCTCAGGGGTTTGAGATCAGCCTGAGCAACATAGCCAGACCCCCATCTCATAAAAAATAGAAAAGAAGACGATGAAGAAGTATTTACAAATGGAGCAGAACCAGAGTCCTTCCTGAGGCTTCATCTGGAGGCTGGATGGAGCTGGCAGAGGTGTGAGCCTCCCAGCAACTCCATAGTTTGTTTATAGCCAGCGAACGCTCAGAGCTTCCGTGAACCACCTCAGGCAGAAAGGGTTCAACCCCTGTTCTCAAGCTTTCCTGGCAAGAGGAGTTTCTTTCTTTTTCTTTTTTTTTTTTTTTGAGATGGAGTTTCGCTCTTGTTGCCCAGGCTGGAGTGTAATGGCACTATCTCTGCTCACCGCAACCTCCGCCTCCCAGGTTCAAGTGATTCTCCTGCCTCAGCCTCCCAAGTAGCTGGGATTACAGGCATGTGCCACCACGCCCAGCTAATTTGGTATCTTTAGTAGAGATGGAGTTTCTCCATGTTGGTCAGGCTGGTCTCAAACTCCCAACCTCAGGTGATCCTCCTGCCTCGGCCTCCCAAAGTGCTGGGATTCCAGGCGGGAACCACCATGCCCAGCCACCAAGAGGAGTTTCTAATCTCTCTGAGTAATTGGTCCCTTTTAGTCAAAGGTTCAGGGGCTTGAAAGAGGCTGACAACTGTTGAGATCTGGAGGCTGCCTGGAATGCAGCTGGAGCACAGACGGTGGGAGGTGGGAAGGTGCTGGGGAAGCTGGGAGAGTCAGCTGGGGTCAGCTCCTGCAGGGCCTAGCAGGCCTGGGTGAGAAGCTTGTGTTTCATTCTAAGTATAGTGGAAACCAATGGAATGATTTTTACGTAGGGTGTGACGTTTTAAAAATTACCATCAAGCTATCTAGGCTGAAGACCTTAAGAAAGAAGATCATCTCTGAGGAGGCATAAACTGCTGAGGCCTCTCACTTTCAGTCCGATGCTGTTTGGTGAAGTTACTTGTGACCTTTTCTCTTGAATGTGCCTTGGTAGTGGAGATGCTTTCCGCAGTGGCATCTGTTTACTTCTCTCCTATTAGCTTCGTCAGACCATGGCTAAGTTCCTTCAGGAGCACCTGGCCCCCAAGGCCCAGGAGATTGATTGCAGCAATGAGTTCAAGAACCTGCGAGTGAGTTGGGAGGCCTGGGCATTGGGGGGCAGTCTGGGAGTGGGGCTGAGCTTCACTGCTGCTTGGAAGAGCTCACGTAGTTTTCTGGTAAATGAAGCCTCCCTAAATGCAGCCCCTCTCTCTGAAGTGTTTGGGTCTCATTGTTCCAGCCACATGTGACTGGCTGCCTTCCGCTCAACACTCATTCCACTTATTCTGTTGGCAGGAGTTTTGGAAGCAGCTGGGGAACCTGGGCGTATTGGGCATCACAGCCCCTGGTGAGTATAGTGTATTTCCCTAAAGAGAACTTTTCTTGTGTGCCCTTTAAGACAGTTCCCAAAAGAAGCAGGAAGGGAAGGGAAAGACTGTGTTTAAAGAAACCCAGAACTGCATCTTTTGGACCTGTGAAAGCACCCATCGTCAGCCCAGAGAACAGAACACTCTTCTATTTTATTAGACAGTGATGTGGAGAAGGCAGAGGGATTAACTTGGTCATTGTGGCTCACTTGGATCAGGATCAGTCCAACTCTTGAACTCTGCTTACTTAACAGGCTCACCCAGGTGATTTGGGAAGTTTAGAAAACTCTGGATCAGGCCGGGCGCGGTGGCTCACGCCTGTAATCCCAGCACTTTGGGAGGCCGAGGCGGGCGGATCACAAGGTCAGGAGATCGAGACCACGGTGAAACCCCGTCTCTACTAAAAATACAAAAAATTAGCCGGGCGCGGTGGCGGGCGCCTGTAGTCCCAGCTACTCAGGAGGCTGAGGCAGGAGAATGGCGTAAACCCAGGAGGCGGAGCTTGCAGTGAGCCGAGATCGCGCCACTGCACTCCAGCCTGGGCGACAGAGCGAGACTCCGTCTCAAAAAAAAAAAAAAAAAAAAGAAAACTCTGGATCAAGTGGTTGTCTTCATGGTACCTCAGTCCTACTGCCTCCCCTAATCCCTATAAGCTTTGTCCTACCAGTGGCCTCTCAGCAGGAACACTCCGGGCAGGGTGTCCCTGCAGGGACTGCCTGTGTCCTCTTCTGCCCACACCTTGGTGCTCATTTGGGAGCAGATGGCAGGGGGAGTAGGGTGGGGGGTGGGCAGGGGAGAGAGGTGTCTATCTGGGCTTCCAGGTGAGGTGGCCAGATGATGTGTTTACTAGGCTCTCCGGAGGGAGAAGGCAGGGATCTGGCAGGCTCTGGTTTGGATATTCTTTTTTTTTTTTTTTTTTTTTTTTGAGATGGAGTCTCACTCTGTCACCCAGGCTGGAGTGAAGTGGCATGATCTTGGCTCACTGCAAGCTCCGCCTCCCAGGTTCACGCCATTCTCCTGCCTCAGCCTCCCGAGTAGCTGGGACTACAGGCACCCGCCACCACGCCCGGCTAATTTTATGTATTTTTAGTAGAGACGGGATTTCACTGTGTTAGCCAGGATGGTCTCGATCTCCTGACCTCATGGTCTACCCGCCTTGGCCTCCCAAAGTGCTGGAATTACAGGCATGAGCCACCGCGTCTGGCCTGGTTTGGATATTCTTAACCTCTGAAGGAGGCCCAGCCTGGCTTGCAGTGTCCAGTAAAGAGATGAGCCTAGGCCAGGCACAGTGGCTCATGCCTGTAATCCCAGCACTTTTAGAGGCCGAAGCAGGTGGATCACCTGAGGTTGTGAGTTTGAGACCAGCCTGACCAACATGGAGAAACCCTTTCTACACTGAAAATACAAAATTAGCCAGGCGTGGTGGTATATACCTGTAATCCCAGCTACTCGAGAGGCTGAAGCAGGAGAATTGCTTGAACCTGGGAGGTGGAGGTTGCAGTGAGCTGAGATGGCGCCACTGCACTCCAGCCCAGGCAACAGAGCAAGACTCCATTTCCAAAAAAGAAAAAAAAAAGCCCAACCTGTTTTTGGCCTGTATTCACTCTGGGCATGAGAGTATGAGTGAAACCCAATACTTCTCCTTACGTCCTAGAAAGTTACATCACCTTTCATAAAATGAAACCACTTAAAGATTAATTGCAACCATCTTAATGTAAAAGCATTGGGGGAAAGCCTGCTGGTCATTCCTAAGGAAGACTCTCCTATTGTGTTTTGGTGGTTTATGTACCCCACTCCCTGCAGATAATATGCTTCTGAATCAGATTGTATTTTATGGAAGAAAGAGGCAGTCAGAAATCAGATGAAAATGGCCAGGTGTGGTAGTGGGCTTCTGTAATCCCAGCAACTGGGGAGGCCAAGGCAGGAGGATCGCTTGAGCCCAGGAGTTCAAGGCTGCAGTGAGCCAAGATTACACCATTGCACCCCAGCCTGGGCAAAAGAATGACAGCCCGCCTCTTGAAAAAAAAAGAAAAAATTCGATGACAACTCTTTCAAGGGAACCTGAAAAAGAAAGCCGGATATAAGTTCCGGTTTCTGCACGATGTCATGGTGGCTGTTTCTAATGTCACCTGCCTTCATACTTTCCTTCCTGCAGTTGTAGGGGCAGGTCAAGCTTTCCTTAGAGCCGAGGACAAGCCTGACTTGTTGGCCAGAGTGAACATGTGTATAGGACCTTGTTAGGCTTGACCCAATCAGCAGGGCTGGGGGTGGTATCAGGTGACCCAGCCACTTTGAGTTTGGATCTGCTGCCAAGGAAAAACCATGTATTTTATGAGGAGTTCTGAAATTCTCTGCCAGCATCTCATCTTCCCTCTGCTGCACAGCCCACCTGAAGATTGTCTCTGAGGCTGTGGCTCTCCTGTCCTGTTATCAGTCCTGCTTCTTTGGGTTCAGCCCTATGCTATAAAATCTCACCTTCCTTAGGCCTTTTGCAGACACATCACATCCTCTGGCTTTGTATCTGTTCTTGGTGCTTTGGATACCACCTCCATCCCAATGTCTTTGTTTTTCTCTGTTAAACTCCAGGCCCTCTTTCTTCATTTATTCATCTGCCTCTGCATTTCTGTAACTTTCTGAGTAGTGGGTGCTCAGGTTGTTCACGTATCTTCATCAAGAGGTCTGTCTGGGATAAAGCAGGAGTTGCAATGATTGCCTTCTGAATCACCCCTCAGCTGACAAGCAGCAGCAGGCAAAACCAGTCCAGTGAGCTTATAAGCAGGTCTGTAGCATCAGCTTATTCTTGTTGCTAGAGGGAATTTGGAATAGGTGCTGCAAGGTGTTTCCCTTCTGCCAACAAATGGAATCTCCCAATTTAATCTGGGCTGCCTTTTCCATTCCCTTGTACCACACCACTCCCAGTTCAGTATGGCGGCTCTGGCCTGGGCTACCTGGAGCATGTGCTGGTGATGGAGGAGATATCCCGAGCTTCTGGAGCAGTGGGGCTCAGTTACGGTGCCCACTCCAACCTTTGCGTCAACCAGCTTGTGCGCAATGGGAATGAGGCCCAGAAAGAGAAGTATCTCCCAAAGGTAAGGAAATGGAAATGTAATACTTGCTAATCTCACAGTGCAACAACCAGCTATAAGGCACCCTCTCCCCTTGGTGAGGGCCAGTGAGACCTGCTTTCTGTAGCATGCTGCCATGAACCCAGTGTGGTTAGGAAGGGGCCATGGATTGCTTTAAAATATTTGAGCCAAAAACAAAAATAGGACCAGACCTCTTGCATTGAACAACAGACAGACAACATGTGAAGAGAACGCTAAGAAATGGAAGAGTAGGACTAGCTTTCTTTGCAAAGGGAATGGAAAAAGGAGAGGCATTTTCAGCCTTGTAGCCATTGGGCTTCTTAGAAGAGACTTCTAGGACTTTACTGATACCCTGGTGTGAGAAGTTTAAAGGGGTGTAATGTGGACAGGAAGAAGCAGTATCAGTGAGCTGCTCTAGAGTACTCCAAGGTTGTAACAAGGCCTGTTGGGGGTTTTCCTTGCAGCTGACCAGTGGTGAGTACATCGGAGCCCTGGCTATGAGTGAGCCCAATTCAGGCTCTGACGTTGTCTCTATGAAGCTCAAAGCAGAAAAGAAAGGTGAGGCCGCTCTCGACTTGGGAGCCAAAATGGGCAGAAGTTCAGATATTATCAGGGTGAGGGAGGAACAATTGGAGGTGGCCCCTGTTGGGTTTCCAGAACTTTCTCAGAGCTGGACAGCTACTTGCTCAGCAGAAGGTCTATGGCCTGGCTGAGACAGGCCGAGATGGCTTGAGCAAATAGCCAACATCCTGCCCTTAGGAGATCACTATGTCCTGAATGGCAACAAGTCCTGGATCACTAATGGCCCTGATGCTGACGTCCTGATTGTCTATGCCAAGACAGATCTGGCTGCTACGCCGGCTTCTCGGGGCATCACGGCCTTCATTGTAGAGAAGGTGAGTATAGATGGGTGTAGGGCCGGGGAGGCTTCTGCCTCCTGACAGTGGAACCAGAGATAGCCCCTTCACTGATCTCAAATGCAAGCAGTGTTGTGTGCTCTGCAAGGCCCCAGAGGTGGGGATGAGGCAGAGAGCAGACTGCAAGGAGGGTAACCAGGAAGTCCAGGGCAGATGGGTCACTTCTGAAGACAGTGGAGCCGTCCTCAGTGCCAGGCCACACAAAGAGGTCTAGAAAGGGAAGGACTGAAAGGAGGTCAGGACGTGACAGTCAGGGTACATTGGTGGACCTGATGAGTGTGGCCGTGGGAGACTGAGGTGTGGGTGGGATATAAGTGGAGACTGCCCCTGCAACAGCCTTGACAACAAAAGCAAGAAGGAAGCAGAGCAGGAGTTCAAACAAAAAGTTAGGAGTTTGGGTGTGTTTTTAGGAATGAGAGAACTGAGCAAAGTTTTTGGTCAGAAGGGAAAAAAAAAGGGAAGAAAAAGGAAAATAGAGGGAGCAATTGAGGCGTCTGGGAATGAGTGGGCAGAACACAATGGTGAGCGGGGACAGGAGAGAGAAGGATGGGTTACAGGTGATGATGCAGGAACCACCTGCCTGGCGATCATGAGGAGGAAGCTAGGGGCCCTGTGAGGGCTGGGGCCACGGGGGGGAGTTGGCAGAGAGTTTCACGAGCGAGTATTGTAAAGGTTTGCGGTACCCTCCATAGAGGGGGGGAAAGTAGCTGTCTAGAGTTGGAGCAGTAGGGACCTGGCTGAGATTGGAAATCTCAAGGTTATGTGACGCCCTGCTCATTACAGGTCGAACGGCAGCATGTTCAGCACTCTGCTGGGCACTTGCCAAAACATGCTGCAATCCAGTAGTCCAGGTCAAAGCACAGAGGGCTCAGTTCAGCCCTAGTGATATCCTTTTGGGTACAGACAGGAGAAAACAGAGGATAAGGGAATTGACTGGGCGGATGACAGTGTCTTGGAAGTAATGTCCCCTGGGGGAAGGAAATAAGGCCGGGGGGTCAGGAGGGCTCAGAGAACTGAGCATATCATTGAGAAAGAACTGTCCCCTTGAGAACTGGGGAGAACACAAGCTAGTGGCAGAGGAGGCTGGGATCAATCTGGGGCGTTAGCACTTGAAGGACCTGGGGGGAGCATGGGACTAGGATGCTGCCATGCTGTGCAGGTACAGGGACTCAGTAGGAAGGTGGGTGCCTTCTTCCCAGGGGCCTTTCCTTTACCAGGCCCCCTTGGGGCTAATCTGTAACCAGGACTGCCTTTTGATTCCTATAAAGGGTATGCCTGGCTTTAGCACCTCTAAGAAGCTGGACAAGCTGGGGATGAGGGGCTCTGACACCTGTGAGCTAATCTTTGAAGACTGTAAGGTTCCTGGTAAGTAGCACCGAGAATCGGGGAGCCCCTCTCCTGACCCCCTTCCAGGCTGATCTGGCTGTTCTCAAGCTGAGAAAGCCTCTGGGTTAGACAGGCTTGGCATTGTTAGCTCTTCAGTGACATGTGGCTAGGCTGTGAGCTGGGGCTGCGGGACAGCGCTCCTTCCTGTCCAGGGCCCTGCAGCGGCATGCCTAACTGGCATCACACGCTCCACACACAGTCTGTACTCAGTAGCCAGAGAAGGGTCAGACCTACCCTTTCCCACTGATGTCCTTCAGTCTTCCTGTACTTTCGCCCGTCCACTGCATGTAAGTAACTCATTAACTCACATTTTTGTAAAAAAAATTTAAACATGAGTTATTCATTTTTAGCATTAATGATGCTAAGAAAAAAAAAAACACCTGAATCCACTGATGGAAACCAGACTCAGTGAAGAGAAGGCAGTTCTGTTTGAGTATGAGTATTTTCTCCCCCGAGGTGTAACTGAAATATGACATGGTGGAGCACTGTGGGAGAGCCAGCGCAGCCATCATGTACTAACCAGACCAGGGGCGTGGATTTGTTGTTTGGGTATTTTTTTTTTTTTTTTTTTTTTTTTCGAGAAGGAGTCTTGGCTCTGTCACCCAGGCTAGAGTGCAGTGGTGTGATCTCGGCTCACTGCAGCCTCCACCTTCCAGGTTCCAATGATTCTCATGCCTCAGCCTCCCGAATAGCTGGGATTATGGGCACACGCCACCCTGCCCAGCTAATTTTTTTTTGTTTTTTTGAGATGGAGTGTCACTCTTGTTGCCCAGGCTGGAGTGCAATGGTGCGATCTCAGCTCACTGCAACCTCTGTCCCCTGGGTTCAGCCTTCTGAGTAGCTGGGATGACAGGCACACACCACCACGCCCCGCTAATTTTGTAATTTTAGTAGACAGATGGGGTTTCACCATGTTGGCCAGGCTGCTCTTGAACTCCTGGCCTCAGGTGATCCACCCGTCTCAGCCTCCCAAAGTGCCAGGATTATAGGCCTGAGCCACCACGCCTGGCCAGGGGCGTGGATTTGATCACCAGTTAGGTTTGCTGTCTGCCTCAGCCATGTACCATGCCTATCACTGACAGCCCAAAAAAGTGTGCTTTAATTACAGGGAGCATCCAGGGAGGGGAACCTGTGCAGCTCCTTCTTTGTTGACAGGAAAAAATTCAGCTAGCATTAAAGGCAGGTCAGTGGTGTCAACTCATTTTCCTGCCCACACCTCCCAAGGCCATCCAGTCTGGCTTACTGGGTGGAGAGGTGCTCAGCAGCTTCTGTTACTATCTCTGAATGGCCTGTCTCCTGGACAAAGAAGCTTTCGTGGACTACCCTGCAGGGAGGTGACACTGGACCAGAGCTGACTCCACCTGGGGAAAGAGTAACTCTCTGGTTTCTTTATAGGTGCCTGTGTAGAAAGAGTCAGGGAGGGATTGGGTGACTTCTAGACCAATTAACTTTTCTTCTTTCCCATCCAAGGGAGTCCAGAGAGGGAAGGGAAAGATCTAACAACCCTGGGCTTTGTGGTTGGCCTTGTGGATGGGGTGGGGGTCCTGGCAGCTCCACTTCTGACTGGAAGGGGTTCACTTGATCGTTTTCTTTTACCTGGAACCTTAGTTGAATAAAGGTCAAGTGACATATTTTAGTGCCTTACTTGAGAGCCATGTTTCCACATCTAGTACCTTTGATAAAAGTGAGGAGGCTGTGGACAGCTCTCTCCCTCTGACCAGCACTTACCCTGGCAGCTGCCAACATCCTGGGCCATGAGAATAAGGGTGTCTACGTGCTGATGAGTGGGCTGGACCTGGAGCGGCTGGTGCTGGCCGGGGGGCCTCTCGGGTAAGTGTGAGGCTTGGGGGAAGCTGGGCTCTGTCGGCCTCCTTGGCCAGTGGCCCACCATGAGCAGCAGCATCCTTCCCCTTGGGGGCCAAAGGGAGCTGCCTCCTGGCCCCGCACTCTCCTGGGAGACAAAAAGAACCACCTCCTCCCATGTTGAATTTCTTCCCACAGCAGGGAAATATCATTAAGTGACAGACCAAAGGCCTGAGGAGCAGGGTGGCTCACTCGGCTGTGGAACGACACCTGGGCTGTCACACCCCTGCACCTCTGGTCAGTCAATGCCATAACTGCGGCTAGACTTTCTGAGGCTGCTTTTCTCCTCCCTGGGACTCCGGCCTTCCCACGCTAGCATTTTGCCACCACGCCCAGTGGGATGAGGAGGTGCCCATAGGACCTTTCTCCTTTCTGACAGGCTCATGCAAGCGGTCCTGGACCACACCATTCCCTACCTGCACGTGAGGGAAGCCTTTGGCCAGAAGATCGGCCACTTCCAGGTGAGCCGCGTGCTTTTGCTGACATGTACGCTTCGACTGGGCTGAAGTTTTCTTTGAAAAGAGAGGAAGTGAGGTGGGCACCGTGGAGGTTCACTGTCTCCTCTAGCAAATTGAGCTTGACTGCTTGGAATGCAGTCTTCCTCAGCATGCAGCCCGGCTCTGGAAGTCATCAGGAAGTTCATCACATTGCCACCTCGATGCCTGTGTGAGGTGGATGAACTAGACGTTGTAAGGTTGGAGAGCAAAGTGTGCAGGTTGTGGGGGCAGAAGGGAAAGAGGTTGCTATTTGTAGTTAGACCACCTGGTCCGAAGAAGCTGCTGGAAGGTAATAAGCGCTGGAGTAAATGGTGCCTTGGGAGCCATGCCTTTCGGAGGCAGTGATGGCCACTTGAGGGTGTCATGCGGGCCATGGAATGGCCACTGTCTGGCCCTAACTCCTACACCTGCCTCCATCTCCGTCATCCTGGGTAAATCCCATCTCCTCTCCATGCCCCTGCTTCCTCATCCTTGGCTGTCGTGTTGCCGTTGCTGACCTGGCTTTTGGTAACTGGGAGAGTGTTCCAGCATGTTGACCTGTGACATCCCTTTGTGCTCAGTTGATGCAGGGGAAGATGGCTGACATGTACACCCGCCTCATGGCATGTCGGCAGTACGTCTACAATGTTGCCAAGGCCTGCGATGAGGGCCACTGCACTGCCAAGGTGAGAACCGCCTCAGTCCAGGAGAGGGGGGGCAGTGGGCCGGCGGCTGGGACTTGCTGTCTGCGTGCCTCGCAGGGCCCTGCTGACCTGAGCTTCCTCCCGTAGGACTGTGCAGGTGTGATTCTTTACTCAGCTGAGTGCGCCACACAGGTAGCCCTGGATGGCATTCAGTGTTTTGGTGAGTGATCCCCACTCCCCACTCCCAGGGCTCCCTCACTCTTGGGGCCTGTGGCTGCTTCAGAAAGCGTTTCAGGGCGGGCGTGGTGGCTCACACCCATAATCTCAGCACTTTGGGAGGCCGAGGCGGGTGGATCACCTGAGGCCAGGAATTCGAGACTAGCCTGGCCTACATAGTGAAACCCCATGCCGGGCGTGATGGTGCATGCCTGTAATCCCAGCTACTTGGGAGGCTGAGGCAAGAGAATCGCTTGAACCCGGGAGGTGGAGGTTGCAGTGAGCCAAGATTGCACCATTGCACTCCAGCCTGGGTGACAGACTGAGACTCTGTCTCAAAAAAAAAAAGCAGTCTCCTCTCCACTCCTCACTATGTGCTTATGCTAGGCCCAGATGAGCTGGGACCTTTGGGCTCTTTCTGTCCCAGTTACAAGGTGGAAATGGAAAGCAAATGAGAAAACTGCTAGATGCCAGGAGTTGCTGCTGCCTTCAGCAACACCCCCCTCTCATCCTCCCTGCCTCATAGACGCTAGGAAATGGGGAAAGGGAGATGTCTCAGAGGTAGGCCAGCCTTGTTTCCATGCTGTGTGGTGGTTAAGAGCGTAGACTCGAGCCGAGCAGCTGAGGTTTGAATCCTTGAGCTGCTATGCTGGCGTCCTCTCATCCCCATTTGCCATGCCTGTCAGTGGCACCCCTCTTTCTTTGTCTGGTATCCTTAGCACTCTGAGTGGCCTTTCAGCTGCAACCTCTTGCCCACCCTACCCAACAAGGTACAGTAGTCCCTTCTTCTCCTCAGCTTTGCTTTTCACAGCTTCATTTACTGTGGTCAACCAAGGTCCAAATACACTAAATGGTGCTGGGCTCACACCAATAATCCCAGCACTTTGGGAGGCCAAGGTGGGCGGGTCACCCGAGGTCAGAAGTTTGAGACCATCCTGGCCAACATGGAGAAACCCCATCTCTCCTAAAAATACAAAAATTAACTGGGCGTGGTGGTGCATGCCTGTAATCCCAGCTACTTGGGAGGCTGAGGCAGGAGAATCGCTGGAACCCGTGAGGCAGAGGTTGCAGTGAGCCGAGATCGTGCCACTGCACTCCAGCCTGGGTGACAGAGCAAGACTCCATCTCAAAAAAAAAAGTGCAGCTGGGCACAGTGGCTCATACCTGTAACTCCAGCACTTTAGGAGGCTGAGGCGGGTGAATCACCTGAGGTCAGGAGTTCGAGACCAGCCTGGCCAACATGGTGAAACCCCATCTCTACTAAAAATACAAAAAAAAAAAAAAATTAGCCAAGTGTGACGGCGGGAGCCTGTAATCCCAGCTATTTGGAAGGCTGAGGCTGAAGAATCGCTTGAACCCAGGAGGCGGAAGTTGCAGTAACCGGAGATTACGCCATTGCACTCCAGCCTGGGTAACAAGAGTGAAACTCCATCTCAAAAAAAAAAAAAAAAAAGGCCAGGCGCAGTGGCTTACACCTGTAATCCCAGCACTTTGGGAGGCCGAGGCAGGCAGATCACCTGAGGTCAGGAGTTTGAGACCAGCCTGACCAACATGGTGAAACCCTATCTCTACTAAAAATACAAAAATTAGCCGGGGCCGGGCGCGGTGGCTCAAGCCTGTAATCCCAGCACTTTGGGAGGCCGAGGCGGGTGGATCACGAGGTCAGGAGATCGAGACTATCCTGGCTAACATGGTGAAACCCCGTCTCTACTAAAAATACAAAAAACTAGCAGGGTGTGGTGGCGGGCGCCTGTAGTCCCAGCTACTTGGGAGGCTGAGGCGGGAGAATGGCGTGAACCCGGGAGGCGGAGCTTGCAGTGAGCCGAGATCACGCCACTGCACTCCAGCCTGGGAGACACAGCGAGACTCCGTCTCAAAAAAAAAAAAAAAAATTAGCCGGGTGTGGTGGTGCGTGCCTATAATCCCGGCTACTCAGGAGGCTGAGGCAGGAGAATTGCTTGAACTTTGGAGGCGGAGGCTGCAGTGAGCCAAGATCATGCCACTGCCCGCCAACCTGGGTGACAGAGCACAACTCCTTCTCAAAAAAAAAAAGCTAAATGGAAATTTCTAGAAATAAGCAGTTCATAAGTTTAAAATCCACACTATTCTGAATACCATGATGAAGCATTGTGCCATGCTGCTGTGTCATGTTTGGTACGTGAAGCGTCCCTTTGTGCAGCCTATCCATGCTATGTGGGCTACCTGCCCGTTAGTAGTCACCTAGAGTATCCAATCAGCTGTCTTGGTATCACAGTGCCTGTGTTCAAGTAACTCTTATTATTTTACTCAGTGGCCCCAAAGTGCAAGAATAGTGATGCTGGCATGTCAATAGTTCTGTTTTAGTATTAGTTATTATTGTTGATCTCTTATTGTGCCTAACTCATAAATTAAACTTGCTCATAAATATGTATGTATAGGGGAAAAAACAACATATATATGGGGTTTGGTACTATCCACGGTTTCAGGCATCCACTGGGGTCTTGGAATGTATCCCCCAAGGATAAGAAGGGACTAGTGCATTCCCCACACCCCTCCATCTTGCTACCTTTTGCCGCTTTTCTTTAATCAGTCTCTCCTCCTATGGCCTGTTTCTATATACTCGGCCTTCTCTTTGCTTTCTTTGTTTTGCCCACTGTCAATCACTTCCTTTCTTCTCTGCCCAAACCCTTGTTGCAGGTGGCAATGGCTACATCAATGACTTTCCCATGGGCCGCTTTCTTCGAGATGCCAAGCTGTATGAGATAGGGGCTGGGACCAGCGAGGTGAGGCGGCTGGTCATCGGCAGAGCCTTCAACGCAGACTTTCACTAGTCCTGAGACCCTTCGCCCCCTTTTCCTGTACCTAGTAGCCTTTCTTGGCAAGTAGAGATGTGGCGGCTCTCCCACCCTGCCTGCAGCAGGCCCTCCTGCCCAGCTGGTCTTGTTAGCCCTCTGGCCTCTGGATGAGGTTGAGTTCTCCACAACAGTTCCCAAGCATCATGGCCCTCACAGCCGGGCCAGTGCCAGGACTAGTGTTCCGTGACTTAAAATGGACTCAGCAGGAAGCATATTGTCTGGGGATTGTTGGGACAGGTTTTGGTGACTCTGTGTCCTTGCGCTCTAACTTCTGAGCCCACTTCCCAGGGTAGGCATCTGGGGGCATGCAGATACCCGCCTCTTTCTCTTGGGTGAGCCTCTGGCAGGAGCCTCTGCTCAAGCACAGCAGAATCATGGCCCCTCCGTGAATTGGAACTTGGTGCAGGTTAAGTATCCCTAATCCTAAAATCTGAAACACTTCTGGTTCCAAGCATTTTGGATAAGGCGTATTCAACTTGCAGTCTCTTTTCTGGGGGAAAAAAATAATTAAAAACCTAGCCTAGCCAGGCGTGGTGGCTCACGCCTGTAATCCCAGCACTTCAGGATGCCAAGGTGGGTGGATCACCTGAGTTCAGGAGTTCAAACCCAGCCTGGCCAACATGTGGAAACCCCATCTCAACTAAAAATAGAAAAAAATTAGTTGGGCATGGTGGCGGGCACCTGTAACCCCAGCTACTTCAGGAGGCTGAGGCAGGAGAAACACTTGAACCCGGGAGGCGGAGGTTGCAGTGAGCCAAGATTGCGCCATTGCACTCCAGCCTGGGTGACAAGAGCAAAACTCTGTCTCAAAAAAACAAAACAAAAACCTGGCCCTTGTTTCTTCCAGTTTCTAGAGGTATCATCTCCTAGCAGCTTATGAACACATATGCTTGGCCAGGCAGGGTGGTGTGTGCCTGTAATCCCAGCACTTTGGGAGGCCCAGGCGGGAAGATCACTTGAGCCTAGGAGTTCAAGGCTGTAGTGAGCTATGATGAGACCACTGTACTCCAGCCTGGGCAACAAAGTGAGACCCTGTCTCTAAAAATAAAAATAAATGATGGCTGGGTGCCGTGGCACACGTCTGTAATCCCAGCACTTTGGGAGGCCAAGACGGGTGGATCACTTGAGCTCAGGAGTTCGAGACCAGCCTTGCCAACATGGTGAAACCCCATCTCTACTAAAAATACAAAAATTATCCAGGGGCGGTGGTGCACACTTGTAATCCCAGCTACTCAGGAGGCTGAGGCAGGAGAATCACTTGAACCTGGGAGGCGGAGGTTGCAGTGTGCCAAGATGACACCGCTGCACTCCAGCCTAGGCCATAGAGCGAGACTCTGTCTCAAAAAAGAAAAGAAAAATAGGCCAGGCGCAGTGGTTCACACCTGTAATGCCAACACTTTTGGGAGGCCAAGGCAGGTGGACCATGAGGTCAAGAGTTCAAGACCAGCCTGGCCAAGATGGTAAAACCTCATCTCTACTAAAAATACAAAAATTAGCCGTATTAGCCAGGCGTGGTGGCAGGCGCCTGTAATCCCAGCTAATCCCAGTCTCAGGAGGCTGAGTCAGAGAATTGCTTGAACCCAGGAGGCAGAAGTTGCAGTGAGCCAAGATCACACCACTGCACTCCAGCTTGGGTGACAGAGTGAGACTCTGTCTCAAAAAATAATAGGCTGGGTGCAATGGCTCACACCTGTAATCCCAGCACTTTGGGAGGCCGAGGCGGGCAGATCACAAGGTCAGGAGTTTGAGAACAGCCTGACGACCAACATGGTGAAAACCCGTCTCTACTAAAAATATAAAAATTAGCCGGGCCTGGTGGCACACGCCTGTAATCCCAGTTACTCGGGAGGCTGAGGCAGGAGAATCACTTGAGTGTAGGAGGCGGAGGTTGCAGGAGCCGTGATTGTGCCATTGCACTCCAGCCTGGGCGACAACAGAGTGAAACTGTCTCAAAAAATAATAACAAAGTAAATGAACACATGTGCTGCTAAGAGTCTGCTGTGTGGCAGAGCAGAGGACAGCGTGCTTTTGTGTGCTGTTGGAAGACTAGCTCCTCCTGTACAGCACCTCTGAGCCCTTGTGCACTGCCCCACCCTGCCACAGGCACCATCCAGTCCTGGCCATGTGACCACCCACAGCTGACTGGGCAGCAGGCACAGGCCCTACCCGAGCAGACCGGAGTTGGCTAGCCTGACTCCAGCTGAGGCTGCCTATGTACATTTCTCCAGATACCCTTTGGCTAATTTTGTTATTACTGCACAGTGGCTGCTGCCATTTTGTATTAAATATATTGTGAAACAAATCCATCTGCTTCTAAAGCAGTGATTTTGGGGAGAAGCAATCTACTTGCTGCTGCTTCCTTTCTGGATCCAGCTTGTGTCCTTGGAGAGTGGCTGGTCCAGGTCCTATTCCTGCCCTTCAGCCTGTTATTTCATGAGGGACAGGAAGATAAAATCAGCCCTTAGGATAGAGGTCTCAGCCTCCCTTTCCCAGATCTCCCAGTGAGTTTTAAAAGAAACAGGGAGCAGGCCGGGCGCGGTGGCTCACGCCTGTAATCCCAGCACTTTGGGAGGCCGAGGCGGGCGGATCACAAGGTCAGGAGATCGAGACCACGGTGAAACCCCGTCTCTACTAAAAATACAAAAAATTAGCCGGGCGCGGTTGTGGGCGCCTGTAGTCCCAGCTACTCAGGAGGCTGAGGCAGGAGAATGGTGTGAACCCGGGAGGCGGAGCTTGCAGTGAGCCGAGATCGTGCCACTGCACTCCAGCCTGGGCTGGGCGACAGAGCGAGACTCCGTCTCAAAAAAAAAAAAAAAAAAAGAAACAGGGAGCCCAGAGTGCTAAGTTCTTACAGCCAGAAGGAAGCTTATAGATTTCTGAAAACTACACCTATGTTTTTAAAAAGATCAACACAATTTGACTTTGTCAAGGTCAAAATGAACTAGAATCCAGATCTGCTAGTGGCAAAAATGGGGATGTTCTGAGAATTCCAGCCTTGGGCCCCACTGTACAGCCTGGATAGAGTGTGGTCTGAGAAGGGAATGGGTCTAGGTTGTTCCACCCCTTCCGAGTTCCCTAAAGAGGTAACTGGTTTTCTTGGCTCTCAGCCCAGCAGCGCCTATCCTGGCTTTTGGTCCTGGCCTGCAGCCAAGTTGCTGTTCCTAGCCTGAGGCTTGAGACAGGTGGGGTTAGCTCCTCACCAACCCCAGTTCAGTCCCATCCTGAGGGCAAGATCCTGGCCTCATAGGCAGTGCCTTTCACTTCCCTGCCATGCTCCCTGCTGTGTTGGAGATGAATGTGACTGAAAGGGCCATCTTGCTGGCTTAATGTGTGGCTGGAACGACCAGCCTGGAGACACAATGTGGCAAAATGGGGCGCTTCATCCAGTCTGTCTAAACCCTGTCGACTTGGGGAGGTGATTTCTTTCCTGATTCTGTATGTGAAGCAAAAGAAATGTTTTAAAATTAAAAGGAAAAAAACCAAAATGAACCATGTAGCCTGAGTGGTAAATGGAAGAACAAGGGGCACGTCTACTTTGGTTCTGGTGGGCGTGTTTGGTTGCCTACATGCATTGGGCAAATCTGCAGCACCAGCTGCCAGCACTGCTCCTTCCTGCGGCTGGCTTATTCCACTCCAATTTTAGGCAGGTCACACTATCAGAGCAGCTCACTGCTGTTGATGCTGCCTGCTCTGTGGGGAGGGCAGCAGAACCTTGGGATGTTTTTTAAGCGTGGTCTGAGCACACCCCTTATCAGAATTTGGCAACCTGAAAGAAATGCAGGTTCCTGGATCCTGCCCCAGACCTAATCACATCCCCAAGGGTGATTCTAGACACGGCAATCTTTTACAACTACCATCTGGGTCCTAGAGCAGGCTTCCCCGGGAGCCTGAGTCCTAATTCTAAATCCATATAATCCAGTGATAACAATCCCTTGCCCATGTAACTCTCTCAAGTCTGAGCTCCTTGATCTTTGCACAACCGAGTGCAGGAGGCAAGGTTTCGCGCAGGACACGCTTTCAGTAGACCGGTAAGGTGAGTTGCCCTCGGTGGGATGGGACCAGACCTGGTGTAAATGCAGCGCGCTGACTGGAGAGAGGTGCCCAGTCCACTGCCTGCTGGACGGGAACTGGGACCTAAGACCGGGGTTGTCATCTGTCTCGACCCCCAGCCTAGGGCAGGTCCAGAGTCCTTCCTCTGACCCTCTCCCTCCAGGCAGCGCGCTTTTTGGAGCGCAGCACTGGCTTGCCAGACGCAGCTCAGAAGTCGCATGGAGCTCGCCTGACCCCTGCCGGCTGCCGCGTGGTTGCAGACGCGCGGAGCCAGTCTATCCGGCCTTTGCCTGGGGTTCTGGTTCCAAGGCCCCCAGTCTGGGATTTCAGGACTCAACGACGTTTTGTTTTAGCCAATAAGGACATTAAAGGGAAGGGGGGTTGGGGGAATGCCATCCTCTATTACCATCATTTCATACAAGGCCTTTTTTTTTTTTTTTTTAAACGGAGTCTCGCTCTGTCGCCCAGGCTGGAGTGCAGTGGTGCCATCTCGTCTCACTGCCAGCTCCACCTCCCGGGTTCACGCCATTCTCCTCCCTCAGCCTCCCGAGTAGCTGGGACTGCAGGCACCCACCACCGCGCCAGGCTAATGTTTTGTATTTTTAGTAGAGACAGGGTTTCGCCCTGTTAGCCAGGATGGTCTCGATCTCCCGACCTTGTGATCCGCCCGCTTCAGCCTCCCAAAGTGCTGGGATTACAGGCGTGAGCCATCGCGCCCGACTGGCTTTTTTTTTTTAAAGACGTAGTCTCACTTTGTCGCCCAGGCTGGAGTGCAGTGGCCCGATCCCCGCTCACTGCAACCTCTGCATCTTGGGTTCAAGCGATTCTGGTGCCTTAGCCTCCCAAAGAGCTGGGATTACAGGCATGTGCCACCACGGCCGGATAATTTTTGTATTTTTAGTAGAGATGGGGTTTCACTATGTTGGCCTGGCTGGTCTCAAACTCCTGGCCTCAAGTGATCCACCGGCCTCAGCCTCCCAAAGTGCTGCGATTACAGGCATGAGCTACCCGGCCCAGCGAGGCCAGGAATTTTTTTTTTTTTTTTTTTTAGACAGGATCTCACTCTGTCGCCCAGTGCAGTGGCGTGATCTCAGCTTACTGCATCCTCGACCTCCCTGGCTCAAGAGATCCTCCGGCCTCAGCCCTCCCCTGGCCACCCCCTTAACCCCTCAGTAGCTGGGACTAGAGGTGTGCACCACCATGCCAGACTAATTTTTGTGTTTTTTGTAGAGCTAGGCTTTCACCATGTTGTCCAGGCTGGGCTCAACTCCTGGGCTTAAGCGATCCTCCCGCCTCCACTTCCCAAAGCGTTGGGATTATAGGTGTTGAGCCAGTGTGCCCAGCCCTCAAATTTTTGTATATGCTTTATGTTCATGGTTTTAAAAAATACTACTATTTTTAAAAACTTATTTTAAAAAATAAAAGTCCCCTGTCCCTCCTATCCCCATTCCCACTCCCAGGACAAAACCACTTTTGAATCTTTAAGGGGCTTATTTTGATAATTCACTTCATACCTCTAAGTGACATGCTTACTTATTGATTTAATTGTAAGCACTTTTAAGGATAGTTTTTGTTTTTGTTTTTAAGATGGAATCTTGCACTCTGTCACCCATGCTGGAGTGCAGTGGCACAATCTCAGCTGACTGCAACCTCTGCCTCCCAGGTTCTAGTGATTCTTCTGCCTCAGCCTCCCGAGTAGCTGGGACTACAGGTGCACACCACCATTCCCAGCTAATTTTTGTATTTTTAGTAGAGACAGGGTTTCACCATATTGGCCAGGCTGGTCTCAAACTCTTGACCTCATGATCCGTCTGCCTCAGCCTCCCAAAGTGCTGGGATTCCAGGCATGAGCCACCATGCCCAGCCCAAGGATAGTTCTTTAAAGTGCATACATTTGATTTATGAGAAGTTATGCCCATACTTTTTTTACTTCCTCGGGCCAGCCCTGTCCACGGGCCAGTGTTTGGAAGCCCTGAAATCAGGTGGTACAGAGCCCCATGCACATTCCTGGCTGTCCCCAACCCTTGCCACATTTGGTACACAGAGCCTACAGCCACGCTAGTGCCGAGTGGGGGCTCTCTTCTCTCTATGTGCACCACTTGGTTACTCTTGCAGGGGGCCATTCCAGAATTCGGCCTCTCTCCCTCACCCACCACCCACCCACTCTCAGAGGCTAGCCTGATATCTCTTAAATATTTCTTGGACTTTCAACATCCTGCCAATTTGCCTCCATTCTTCCAGGCCACGCCCCTCAACCCTTCCTCTACACTGAACCAGTGAACTGTCAAGCTCCCTGCAAATTCTTCAGTGGCTCCCAGCACCTATAAGATCTAAGGCTTGGCAAGGCAAATATGACTCTAATCCCCCTGGGCCTTCCCCTTCTGCTGCTTCCCTCCTTCCCTGCTCAATGTTCATGTTCTTGTTGCAAGGAGTCCTCACTGCTGTGTTTCTCACCCCTGTGCCTTTTGTCTGGGGCAGCTCTGGAAGTCCTGCCAGCCCTTCAACCTTTCTCTTTCTCCCTCATCTCTAAAGCCTCAGGCCAGGGCCTGCCTCCTTCAGGAAGACCTCTCTTCTCCAACCTTTCCTCACTCCTCTGTCTCCATCTCATCCATTCTAGACGGGTCCCCTTCCTCCTTCTCCCTGGGCATATCTGCACTAATGGGCTTGCCACAAAGTTGTGTTTACTCCAGTCTCCCCAGCATTAGGCAGGCTATGAATTTGAGGGCTAGGACTGTGATTTAACTGTCTTTACATGATCACCAGCCAGCACAGTTCCCGGCATGTAATAGGTGCACAACAAATGTTTATTGAAAGAGTAAATGAGCAGTCACGTGACACTTAGCTCACACTTTGCTGGTATACAGTTATTTGTGTATATGGTGCTCTCTGAGTATATTGTAAGATCTTTTAGGTCAAAGACCATCTCTCACTTATCTGAACTCTCCCAATAACACCCGGGGCTCACAGTAAGTGCTCAGTGGCTATGTTCTTGCTAAATGAGTGAAATGACAGGTGGGCCAGAGCCCTGGACTAATCCCAGCATTGGCAGAAACAGCAGGGCCAGCCGGCTTTGCCTGGCCCTGTTTTCTCCAGGCCTTCCCACCCTGGAGTGGCCAGGGCCCAGCCGCAGAAGGGAGGCCCTCACCCCCATACTCCTCTGACCCACTCAGAGACAGAAGGAAGCTGTGCTAAAAGACCCTGACCCTCCCCTGCTAGCCGAGGACGAGAATGGGAGCTGGAAGGGGAAAGGGGAAGAGCAGAGCCACACAGCCTTTGTGTTCTTGTGTGAAATGAATGGTATATATGGGGGAGTACGTACATGCACATATGCAGTGTGGAAAAATAACAAATTCCTGTGTACCCAACATGCAGGTCAATGAAGAGAGTATTCCAAGCCCATGTGCCCCTCCTTGACATATTCTCCCCAGGGGAGCCACCATCCTGAATTTGGTGACAATCCTCCCCTTACCTTTCTCAGTGGCTTCCTGCCTCTGTATAGATCCCTGAACAATATTGTTTAGGTTGCCTGATTTCAAACTTTCTATAGCTGGACTCATACCACATATATATATATGTTCTTCCATGTCTTGCTTTTTGGCTCATCATTGTACAGTTTTTGTTTTCTTGTTTTTTTGTTGTTGTTTTTCATTTGTTTTGAAACAGGGTCTCACTCTGTTCATGATCATGGCTCACTACAGCCTCAACCTCCTGGGCTCGAGCCATCCTCCCGCCTGGGCCTCCCAGGTAACTGGGATTACAGGGGCTTGCCATGATGCTCAGCTAATTTTTTTGTATTTTTTGTAGAGATGGGGTTTCATTATGTTGCCCAGGCTGGTCTCAGACTCCTGGGCTTAAGGGATCTGCCTGCCTCAGCCTCCCAAAGCTACTCAGCTCTTTTAAATTTTTTATTGTTTTTGAGACAGGGCCTCACTTTGTCACCAAGGCTGGAGTGCAGCGGCGCAGTCATGACTAACTGCAGCCTTGACCTCCCAGGCTCAAGTGATTCTCCCACTTCAGCCTCTTCAGTAGCTAGGACTATAGGCCCAGTCCAGCTATTTTTTTTTTTCTTAAATGTTTACAGAGACAGGGTCTTACTATGTTTCCCAGGCTGGTCTCCTGAGCTCAAGCCATCCTCCTGCTTCAGCCTCCCAAAGTGCTGGGATTACAGGTGTGAGACACGGTGCCCAGCCTCATTCATGTTAATGAGCAGGACTGTAATCTCTTCAATTTTTTTTCTTGTGTAGTATTCTATAATGTGGAAATATAACAATTTAATTGTCCATTCTACTGTCGATGGACATTTGGGCTGCTTCCAGTTTGGGGCTATTGTAAAACATTCCTGGCCAGACGCGGTGGCTTTTACCTGTAACCCCAGCACTTTGCGAGGCCAAGGCGGGCGGATCACCTGAGGTCAGGAGTTCGAAACCAGTCCAGCCAAC